TGTTACCATATATACTAATTTAAGTCCAAGTTTATAAATAAAAATCGTTTAGTTTATATAAGGGTAAATAGACAAATCATTACATGTTGTAGTTTAACTAATCTATTATCAATTTGATAATTCAGAACCACGCAATGTAATATAATAAAATACAAGACAAAATGAGCTAGTATAATACATACGGCTTCAACATGATGTTTACCTTACTGTGTCATTATGGACATTTTTATTGTAGAAATCCTTTTCAAGAACAGTTTATCGGAAATGATGGATATAATAACACGAGGAATTACTCTGCATATATAATGAGACATAACATCTAGCAATAAATATTTCATTATGCCTGTAGATTCGAAATACATGTGTAACCATATTTCATAGTTATAATTGTATTTTCTAATTACAATACTTAAGTATTTCACCTGAAAGAACGCCTATATTAACCTATTATATGTGAACATGAATTATTTATCAGTACCATGAAATTACGTTTGGCTGTTTATATCAAAAAGGGGCGAAGTTTTGATCACGGGCTTAAGTACTGGGACTACTTTTAATGATGTACATGTTGATCGTTAGTATCGAGAACCCCAACAGAATAAATATTGTCCCTAATCACATCTTACCTACAAGGTGTGTTTTAATTAACGTTATCAACATTTGACTTTCTTATCGGGTATGAGCATGTCGAATGATTTCATATTATTGATAGACTACCTTGCATATGGTATGTTGGTTCCGTAGTCGCCTGTATTTCTCCTGTAGTTGTGACATTCCTCTGTGTTGACGTTTGGTTACCTGTGTATCAATATAATAATTCAATAGGGTATTATATGGGATGAGTGTTAACGGTTTTTATCATAGTCTGACTTGCTACAATAATTAAAAATAATTTATTGAAAATAATTAGCCAAATAAATAATTTTCATCTTTGAAGAGTTGTAAGGTTTAATTTCGCAATCCTAATTGTCCTGTTAGTTGTTCGGTTCAATTTTCAACATAGCAGAAGGTCTTTGAATACAATGATTTACACGTATCTCAAGCAGTTCAGTCTTTCGGCACTTACCCACTTCTGTTGCTAAGCGATATCCGACCACCACAGCAACTATAAAAACTACAATAAATACGACTCCAATAAAGAAGATTTTTACTTTGAGCAACATATCTAGTATGTCCCGGTGTATAGTTACCTATTTCTAGAAAGAATGATGTGTCTGGCAGCACAGTTTGTACTGGCTTATACTTATAATCATAACAAAATCATTTGCATGTGAATACAGTCATTCAGTTACGACACTGTTTTTTGCAATACGTCTTTAGACATATTTTATGACGTATTAAGGTTGCTTTTTAAACATGGGTTTTTGTATAAAGCGAATGCTTTGATCTGGAAAATTGTGACGTGTCAGTTACTGTTTCAAAAGTGGTAACTACAATTTGTCTTTGCCTCAATATAAATACAGAATAAGAATATTGCATATAAGCAAATATTGATTTTCCAATAAAATATATTGCCTTTTGTTATATATAAAATAAGAACAAGATGGCGGCCAAAATACAACAGAATATAGTCAAGATTGAAATGTTTCTAGTATACCAGGCTTAATCGTCTGATGATTACTTAAGTTGCAGGTTGAATGTCTAACTAAATGAGGATTTACAGTGAGAGCAATGTCAGACTAATCATGCGAGTGAGATGAAATGAGTATAACACAAGAAATCAGGGGCAAACATCAAACAACATAATTTAATCATTGTTGTTGCTTAAAATATTGAAATTAATACGAAATTTGCAAGAAAATTATAACGATTACTAAGCTCGATATACGCTTCACAGTGTCGTATTATCATCATGCTACTCTCATTTTTGTTTGTGATAATTTTAGTGTTTACCTAGTAAATGGCTGGTAACAATATGAAAAATACTAATCTAGGTGAATGTGATGCCAATTGTGTATAGACATGTTCAGTTTGAATTAACATGACCGTTTATGTAAGATCTCAGTAAACAATAACAGCATAATCACATGCTTTGATCACCCTTCGTGAAATATTCAGCATACCCATAACGAAAACACAATTACTAGATGAAGACACTAACATTGTTAAATAATCGTTAAAATAAACCATGAATCGTTTTCCTTCGACAACCTGGTGCCATGTATACTGCGTTGATTTTATGCTTAGTTTTACAGTACAAAAAAAAATGTGTTTTTGTATATGTGTATCAAGTGGACATCATACAGATACTGATACTAACAATATTTTGTTATTAAAAATGAATATAAAGGTAATTTTATTCGATATTTGATGGTTCGTCATAAAGGGCTTCAGTTGCCAGCGTAACACATTGATGGTAAGACTTACTCACATCTAACTCTAATCCTAACCTTTATCTTCCCCCATTTTAATTGTATATGCGCTTCCCCTGGACACGTATAGTAATTTAGAAAAACACATACAATTACATTTGGGCCTGAGAGTTAGAGTGAGAGTTTAGGTTAGGAGTGGGGGGCCTTAAGGAAGTCATTCGACCTTGACGAGTTATTGATTGATAGGATTGATCGTATGTTTATGCTAAGCTTGAATTGAACAAGTAATATGGCGACAAGCCGTTACTGAATGTAATACTTATTACCTAATTATACTTATTGAATGTCGA